CTGACAATGATATTATGACAGTGATTTTATGAGAGGGATATTAAACTGCAAAATCCTTGAAGTCTTTCTAATATTGATTCAACTAGGTAAGCCATTTATAATTCTTGCTGAAGGTGCAAAAGTGCCTACACTGAGAGTACCTGGAGGTAGGCGCTTCCTTTTCCCCACAGAAACTGAACCCAGGAGCAGCTCAGTAGATAGAGCGGGCAGAAAAATGAGTCGTGTGCGACAGTGAATATCAAGACTGATGGTAGAGCTCGCGGGTGACCCTACCAAAGCTGGGTAGGGAGAACTTCCCTCCAGGAACGTCCTTACCTCTGTCCTTTTGCTCTAATTGCTGTGGACGTGCCAGGCAGCACAACGTGGCTCCTGAGGGTGGTTCCTACTGATGCTGGGTAAAGGTCCCCTCATTCAGAGCCAACGACTAACACAAAGTAAAAATTCCTCTGATCTTAAGCCTTAGCAAGGGTTACGTTGCCTGGAAAAGGGAAAGCTTCGGGTGGGGCACGTGTGTGGAGGCCAGAAGGGAGTAGAAGTCAGAAGGCAGGAGACTTGCCCTCCCTCACTGGTCAGTAAGTTTCCCTGAACTTGGAACTCCTATTACCAATCTCTTCACCCAGCGATGCTCTTATCCTTGAATTGCACTGACTTCTAACATGTTTAATGTTAATTGTTTACTGTCCACAGTAGCTAGATTGGTCTACCTTTTTTTATTGTCATATAGATATGTCTTTTGCTCATCTGTTTATATTAATTTTCATAGAGTCTGAATTCTTAGACCATGTTCATGGGCAATACATTCTAAATTTAGTTTAGTGTCTACCTTAATTGCTCATTGCAAGTGGGTACTGATAAAGGCTTTTTGATGATGATTATGACTGCAACGATTACACTAGAAATCAAAGGCTACTTCTTGTAATTTTAGAAGACTGCTCCTCTGGAAATGCTAACCTCCTCTTTTACGAGTCTTCTCTCACAAACTACTTTCAGCTGGGCTTGCCTGAAACCTTCTAGTTTCATGGTCGGGAGAGCTGGGTTCTGCATTAGATTCACCAACAACTTCTTTCTGAGTCTATGTGCTTCAGTTTCACAATCTTCTAGTACAAGACAGAATAAGCTCACAGGGCTGGCAGGTAGGGAAGAGAGGTAGCATAGGAAAGTAGGTGTGCAAGGACTTTAAAAGTAGGACATTAGGATCCTGTCACAAGTCTACACCTCCTTTCCCTCTGAGACACTCTTCTTTCTCCCCACAAGCATAATTCTTCCGGGAGGCTCAGGGTGCTGGTGTGAAGGATGAAGTACCACCCTTGTGTATCATTTTCTGCAGAGACTCCTCCCAACAATTCCTTTCACCTCATCTTTTCCAGTTGCTTGTTCTTTACAGGCCTTCAAAGAGCTACTTTTTCAAGCCTGGGGCCTCATTTATATTCCCATTCTGTTATTTTGAAGAGAAACACTTGCAGGGAGGAGATACCTAGAATGCCAAAGATTTCTCGTTAGAGAGAAACATCATGAAGAATCAAATGGTGAGCCCCAGAAGTTTCAGAAGACAGAAAAGGAATAGGCAAAAATAAACTCCAGGTGAATGAAAGACCGAAAGTTGTAAAACAAAACATAACAACACCGCCAAATCATCTGAAAAAAATATAGAATAGCTGTATGATCTTAAGACAGAATTTCTTAAATCACATTATGAAACATCAGAGGTCATAATTGGCAATTTTGATAAAGCTGACTATAACAGATATTAAAAACTCTTACAGAAGAGACATCTTAAGGTTAAAATACAAGCGACAAGGAGACAGGAAGAAGAAATCTGCAGCATACGTGTACATCAGGAAAAGATGGGTGTCTGTGAAGGACTCCTACAAATCAACAATACTAGTAATAATAAAGAAGAAGATAAACAACTCAATAGACAAAAGGTATGAATAGACAAGTTCCAGAAGAAGAAATCCAAATAACCAGTAATACATATAAAAACCTACTCTACCTCTCTAATAATTGGGAACTTGCGAAGTAAACTGATGAGGGACTGTGAAAACTTTTTTTTTTAAGTGGAGGTACGAGGGATTGAATCCAGGACCTTGTACATGCTAAGCACACACTCCACCACTGAGCTATACCTTCCCCGCTCGTCATTTTATTGTCAGCTTGCCCAATTTGCAGATCGTGTCATCCTCACGTATATCTAGATTGTTTGAGGACAGTTATTTTTTCCTTTTTAATTCATGCTATACTTGCATATTCCTAATATCCACAATATAACCTCTTCCTGTTGCTTTTTAAAAGGCTTATTAGCAACAATATCTAACACTTAAAACCGTGAGGTCCTCAACCCAGAATAAGTCACTAAATCAGTGTTAAAATTTTTTGGTCTCTTTTTTTCTCTTTAAGTGATTCCATCCAGTGACCTCCATAAGCTTTCAGAACTAGCATAGATTTTTTTTTTTAAGAATTAGCATCAGTTGAGGTTATCTCAGGCTACATCTTCCCTAAATAGCATTTTGATTTAAAACAAAGTATCTTCTATTAAAAAATCATCAAAAAAATCAGACAGCAAGGACTGTCTGTCTCCTATAATGGGAGACTTTGTAAGAACACAAAATATAAGGCAACTTCCTTTCTGAGGAATTATTTTGACAGAAAAAACTATTACCTTACATTCAAGTATGTAAGGCACTTGTTACTTAATAAATATTTAATGAGCACTGCTTGTGTGGCAGGCACTGTGCTAGGAACTGGAAATACAGTGAATTTAGACTCTCACAAGGAAGACAGTCGTTAAATGTATAACGCCACAGCTAACTCATTATGATCATTTAAGTATTATGAATGGTAAGTATGGTTAGCTACAAGATGATTAACAGGGGAGCCTAAGTCTGGGAGGTTAAGAGTTTCCTGTAATCGTGCTGTTTAGGTACAGTGCAGCACTAATTCACGTGCCCAGTCGGTCTGTGTTTAAATCCTGATTCAAACCTTGAATAGGTTATTTAACCTCACTTTCCTCATTTATAAAGTGGAGCTAACAACAGCATCTGCCTTATGAAGTTTAAATGAGGATTAAATCAGTTAATACATATAAAGCACAGAGAACAATGATGGTGTATAGCATCTGCTCAATAAAGGTTACCTATTATTATCATTTCAGCTGGAACCCGACAGACAAGATGAAGGGAAGAAGGAAAGAAGAAAGTTCAAGCCTAGAACAAAATGTGCAAAAGCCAGAGGCACAGGGGCATAAAGTTGTTTGGCCCATCCTAGAACTGAAAGGCCAGTGTTTCTTAGCATAGAAAGCTAAGCGGAAAGAGATACCATGAGATATGAGATGAGGCTGGGAAGGTAGGTCGGGTTAAGGAGTCTGAACTTTACCCTAGGAGTCAGACGCAACTTGAAAGATTTTACAGAAGGGAGTGATAAGCTTAGACTTGCAACTTCAAAAGCTTTCTCCGGCTACAGCATGGAGAACTGGTTGGAGGGAGGCCAAAACAGATGAAAGGGAAACCAGTAAGGAAGCTACTCTGGTAATCTAGATTAGAGGCTGCAATATAGACTAGGGTAGTGGCACAGAAGAGAGAAGGAAGCTGGATGATTGAAGAAACAGAAGACAGAACCAACAAGACTTAGTGTATGTACATTAAGGTGAATGGCATGGAGAGCCACTAAACAGTAAACAAATATTCGAGGAAGGAGTGAATGAATTCCTGTGTTTGTGCCATATTGTTTTACTACATGAAATGCCTTCTCTCTACTCCATCCTTCCAGGTAAAATTCCTCCCCATTTCCTAAAAGGTGTCTCTGATTAATCTTGTCCTGTTCTTTCTAGGAGAGTTCTAGAATTTAGAGCTGAACTTTTTTTTGGCGGGTGGGGTGGGGTGGGGGAGAGGTAATTAGGTGTATTTATTTACTTATTTTAATGGCGGTACTGGGGATTGAACCTATGCTAAGCACGTGCTCTACCACTGAGCTATACCCTCCCCCTAGAGCTGAACATTCTTGAGAGGCAAAGAGGACTATGTTGAGAGGGCTTAGAAATTGCCTGAAGGTGAAGTTCATATTTTAGTCACCTTTTTATCCCATGCACCCCATCTACCTAACACTTGTAGAGGTCCACCCACTGACAGAACTTTTTCTCTGACTATATGAGTGATACAATCATAAACAACTTACACTAATATAAAGCTCTGTGACCCATAAAGCGTTTTACAGACGTGGGAGCCTTCACAACCATTTTCTTCTCGGATCTCCAAGAGCCTTCATAAAATAAGTATTATTGTAGAGGCAGTAAACTCAGAACTAAAATGACAACTCACACACACACACTGAAGGAAACGGTAGGGCTCAGATTTGAACCTAGATCCCCTGGTTTCAAATGGGATGCTCTTTTTACCACTCCTCATGGAAGATGAATATTCATATGTAGTCAAGAGGACTGTTAAATCTTGTAAGCAGCTTAGTACCACTTCTGGGAATCCTTCCCAGTCTCGGGCATTAATTAATTTACTGAAACGTGTTTATTGAGCAACAACTAGGCGCCCGATACGACACCTAGTGTTGGGGGTGAGGTACAGCAATGAATAAGACAAGAAGGAGCTTCCCAGTCTAGTCAATGCCGGCCAAACAAGGAAACGACTGTATAATAAACGACGTAAGGGTTAAGTGCTACGAAGAAAATACACAGGGTGATGGGAGAAAACGTATGTCCTTCTGGTCAGAGAAAGCCTCTCAGAAAAGTGACATTAAGGTTGAGATCCTAGCATGGTCTTCAGGAAGTGCTTAACAAAAAACATTTTTCCCACAGACCTACTTTGAAAAACGCCAACAAACGGAAAGCGCGGACTTCGTCTACACAGGGGCCGCTCCCAGGCCTCCCACCTTCCCCGTCGGACCGTGAGTGGCAATGGACAGTTCCCGGCCTGGCCAGGCTCCAGCGCTAGAGGGCGCCGCGGGTCCTCCCAGCCCCCAGGAGGCGCCGTGGCCTCGGGCTCTGCCTAACTGACCTCTGGCATCTGCAGCGCCAAGGCTCCGAAACCCAGCGGAGGGACAGAGGGCGAGGGCGGCGCTAGGAAGCCCGGAGGCCCTAGGGCATCGCGAAGGGTCACGAGGCCCTCAAAGAGAGGACGTCTCAGGATCACAAACCCGACCAGGGCAGATACACCCTCGCTCCCTGGGACATAGCCTTTAAACCAGGAAGTACTGGTGGCGTCCAATCCTGGCCCTTCTTCCGCACTTAGCCTCAGCGTCCCTTCCACTCCCGGGCGGCGCGAGGCGGACGGTCTTTGGTTACCAGTCAGCTCTTAGGAAAGACGCATGCGTGATCTAAAGAACGTGAGATACGGGGAACTTTGACCCAAAGACGACCCCTTCTCGTCTCCCCCTCCCTCGCTGTGAAGATGGCGCTCTCCAGAGTGTGCTGGGCTCGGGCTGCTTTGTGGGGTTCGGCCGTGCTCCCTGGACCTTATGCCGCTCGGAGGCTGCAATTTGTCCGCTCTGGCCTGGCCTGGGGGGCCCCTCGGTGAGGGACCTGGAGAGAGAAAAGCATTTTGACGTTCAGGGCCTTCTAGTGTCTCAATCTTGTTTGCATGCTGTCTCTTAATTCTCAGGCTTCCACGCCCGGCCCCTGGATTTTTATTCTTCCGTTCAGAATTGGCATCCGGATCCCTGCTAGAGACCGGGCTTTCCGACCCTCTCAATTTTCAGTTCCCCATGTTGTCTGAATTCCTCACGTTGTCTGAATTCCTCACCCGTCCTGAGCTCATGTTTCAGCCTCCCTTTTTCGGCTCAGATTTTCCCGTTTTACCGCTGCTTACCTGGATCTCACTTCCCCGGCGTTAGCCTGCGGCTCAAATTGTCCCTCAGGCCTTCCGCCGTCACCAGACTCAGCATTCCCCTACTTCCCTTCTTGCCTGGCCTCTCATCTGCCTTACCTGTTTTTCTCAGTCTGATTGCTTATCTCTCCTTGATACAAAGGTCTTCCTTGGATTTCAAAAGTTTCAGGTCTTAGCATACATTCTCTGAGGCAGCTGTTTTACATTATGGACCCCAGACGTGACAGGGCTTCCGGGACTGATTACCAGATAGTCTCTTTGATCTTTATAGGTCTTCAAAGCTTCACCTTTCTCCAAAGGCAGATGTGAAGAACTTGATCTCTTACGTGGTGACCAAGACAAAAGTGATTAATGGGAAATACCATCGTTTCTTGGGTCGTCATTTCCCCCGCTTCTATGTCCTGTATACAATCTTCATGAAAGGTAAAAACAAACTTAAAATAAAAATCCATTGAATCAGCTCTTGGGCCATGCCAGAGAGTTAAAATAAGTTAGCTCATTTGCAGGTTCTGCTCTAGGGGTGTGAGCTGGGATGTCTTCTGTTTCATAAATGCTTGAGTGTTAAACTATTTCTTGGAAGTTAGGACTTCTTGTGGATGTTTCTAGAAAGGTATTAAGAGAAATGACCTCTGACAACACCTAGGAGGAATATAGATATTTTTGCACTTTTTGTAACCACACATTTGACTACACTAGACATGCTTTGTCTTGCGCAAGAGCAGGGATCTATGGCTGCACAGACCTGCCCTGTGATTTATCAGTTGACTTGGCCCATAAGAAAATGTGGTCTAATGCTTGTCACAGATCTCTCCTAGGTAGCATGTTGTGGAACTAGCACTATATGTACTTGGTTTCTGAATGTTTTGGTTCAAATCAGACTCTGCTAGTTACTAGGAGATGGTGTAGTGTCAGGTGTCCACTCTGGAGTCAGAATGCCTGGGTTCAAATCCTAGCTTGTTATTAGCTGTATGGTGGGACTAGTTACTTAACCTCTCCTTTGCTTTTCTCATCTGTAAAATGGGGGTAGTAATAGAACCTACCTGTTGACTACATGGTTATGAAGATTAAATAAATCAATACATGTAAAGTCCTTAGGGCCTGATTCATAGTAAGTGCTCAGTAAGTGTAGCTGTAACTATTATTATACTTTATATGTTTATCATAACACCAGTTATAGTAAACTACCACATTGTTAGTTCTGAATATTATGATTATTAGTAGCTTTGTGGACTTGCAGAATCTGTGAAGTGGGCATAAGGACAGCTGCTTTGTCTGCTCCCAGGTTTATAACTAGAATCGAATGAAAAAAGAGTCTGAAAGCATTTTGGTTGTTTGTTTTTAAGCCTTTATTATGGAATATTTTCAACATACACAGAAGTAGAATAACAGAATGAACTTCCATATTCTCAACCTCACTTCAACAGTTATTGACTCATGGCTGTCGGTCTTATTTCATTTATACACTTGCCTTCTCCTGTGTTATTTTGAAGCCAACCTAAACATACCATTTCATTCATAAACATGAAAGCATTTTTAAAAACTGAAGTCCTAGGTCAATGTAAGAATTTTCTTGTAATGAAAAGAAAAATGCAGTCTTAGAAATATGTTGAATTCTGGTAATTACAAAAGTGTTCTAGAACTGAGATAAGCTAATATGGGGCTGGAGTTAATTAAGCAAGACTTCCTGAGGTTAAGGAGCTTTGGATTTTTGTTTTAAAAGGGAGTAAATAAGAAACCAGAAGAGGGAGACCGTTCCATAGTAGGTCACAGAAGGCGAACTTGGCTGGAAGAGAGGTGATGTGCTTGTGGGGGAGGGGGAGGATACAAAAAGAAATATAGGTCGACCTCACGAGTGTTTCAAGTGACCTAGTTTAAAGGTGTGACTTAGAGTGGTGTTTGGGAGGGATTAGTATGTGTTTCGTGGGTGAACATGGAGTAAAAAGCTGTGGTAATCAAACTGGGGTAACATCACACTCTGTCCTCTACTTTAATGAGGCAGGATTGCAGATGTTATGGGCTGATGCCAAAAAGGCTAGAAGGATAAAGACAAATATGTGGAAGCACAATATAAAGTTTCATCAACTTTCATACCGGGAGATGGAGCATTTGCGACAGGTATGGGCCGGGAGCAGATGTCCAGAAGTTCATGGTGAGGGAATTCAAGTTAACCCAGATCTCAGGTTTCTTTCTTTCCCATTTTCTTCACCACTGACCAAGCTCTTGCCCCTTGCCGTGAGATCACATTATTTGTCAGAATCAGGTTCGTTCAGAGTTGGGGCCCTCCATAGCAGAGCTCCATAGAGTTTCTGGCATGCTTTTTGAATAAAAGTTGTAAACAGTAAAATCCAGTTCATTTCTGAAGATATAAAAATCTGCAAGGAAGGCTACAAACAGCAGCAGGAAAGTAGTATCTGGCGGTGACTTGATGGTAGTTTTGAAGCTGAGAGTAAGGACCTAAGACCTATTCTGCAGATCCGGAAGAATTCACTGAGAGATTTGGTATAATGTCAGGCCTATTTGGGATACAAAAGTGAACAAATCAGGGCTTCTGTCCTCAAAGAACTTACCAACTAGAGGTGGACAGAAATAACCTTGATCCTGATCTGGGCTATAATAGAAGTTTACTACACAGTGGGGTGGAGGGATTGTCCATTGTATTAAGAACTTACATGGGTTAAAACTGCATCTGTTTATTTCTGCTTAGTTCCGTCGAGACGTCACCAAGTGTCTTTTCCTAGGTATTATTTCCATTCCACCCTTTGCCAACTACCTGGTCTTCTTGCTAATGTGAGTACAGAGTTCTATCACCCCAGCATATTGAAGATATATAGATTTTTAAAAATTACAAGCCAAGAACTTTCCATTTCAGAAGCTAGGCAGAGGTTATCAAGCCTCCTGCTCCCATCTTCTCATTAGTCCGAGGTTCATAAAAGCCACCAGGGTTACTCGGATAGCTGTGGGTGTAGGTGGCCTGGACTCTCCCTTAGCTGCCCCTGTGTGATGTGAAATAAGATAATGACCATCATTGTCATTCCTAGAAGCAGTAACCGACTCTCTGAGAGGCATAGCAATTTCGGACAGGTTTTTTTTTCTTCAGGAGAGAAATGTATTTCATATTCTGATAATATAAATCTTTATTACTTTACATTATATCCAGAGAAGACATTTTTAAACTATGACCTTGCATGTTGTTCTAGTTATCTACTACTGTATGACAAACAACCTCACAGCTTAATAGCTTAAAACGACCACCATTTTCATGATTTTAAGGGTCAGGAATTTGGGCAGGGCTCAGGTGGGTGAATGATTTTTCTCTTCCATGTGATGTTGACAGAAGTCCCTCGTTGATACTTAGCTGGTGAATGGACCAGTCTGGACAGTCTAAGGTCACTCTTAACGTCTGGTGCCTTAGCAGAGATGGCTTTGGAAGATGGGAACTGTCAACTAGAATGCCTACATGTGGCCTCTTTGGTGGCTTCAGGGTAGTGAGACTTCTTCAATGGCAGCTCAGGGCTCCAAGAATGAGTGTTTCAGCAAATACAAATCCGCATGGCCTCTTCTAACCTAGCCTTGGAAAAAAGTCACAAATACTGACTTCTGCTCTATTCTATTGGTTGTCAGTCACCCAGATTTTAAAAAAGCAGGAGACATAGACCTCACTTCTCAATAAGAGGAATGCCAGGGAATTTGTGACCATGTTATAAAACCACCACATGAGTAGAGAAATGAATTAGAGAAATTCCGTTTTGTATATACTTAGGGACTGTGCTACAGTTTGAGGTTGTCAGCATCACATCCAGTATCCAGCTCTGTCCAAAATATGTTCTTTACATGCTTTAGTTCAAAAGGAGACATGTATCTCATTGCTGCGTGCAAGGCTATTCCACTGTTGCTTCCTTTTCACATAACCTGAGTAATGCTGCTTGAAATTGTGCTTCGGTGTATCTTTAAACTTTGGTCTGAAACTCACAGGAAAGAACAGTAAGGTAGGGAATTAGTGTCTCCATCTCTCTTTCCTAGCATTCATGTCTGCTTAATGCTTTCTTAGCTTACATTGAAACATGCCAGTTTCAGCAAGTGACTTTGTGATTCCTTTTCTTTCCAGGTACCTGTTTCCTAGGCAACTGCTGATCCGACATTTCTGGACCCCAAAGCAACAAATTGATTTCTTAGATATCTATCATGCTCTCCGGAAGCAGTCCTACCCAGAAATCCTTTGTTATTTAGAAAGGGTTGTCCCTCTCATTTCTGATGCAGGACTCCGGTGGCATATGACAGAGCTGTGCACCAAGGTATTCCTCCCATTACCCCTTCCTGCAAACTAGGAATCTTGTTAGAGCCAGTGTGTACTAAAACTAGGTAAGAGGGCTAGTCAGGACCCTCCTAACATCTACCCATCTCTTACCTCTCCTAAGATGCAACATGGTACCCACCCAGCAGTACATGATATCCTGGCTCTGAGAGAGTGTTTCTCTAACCATCCTCTGGGCATGAATCAACTCCATGCTTTGCAGATGGTGAGCACTTTGAGGCATTCTCTCCTCCACAGCATCACCTCACTGCAGATCTTAACTTGCAGTAACACTGTGTTGACTTTCTCCCCCTGTGTTGTTGTGCTGCAGAAAGCCTTGAGTCGAGCCATGCTTCTCACACCCCATCTGCCTCCTGTCTTGTTGAGACACCGTTTAAAGACTCATACCACTGTGATTCACCAACTGGACAAAGCTTTGGCAAAGCTGGGGATCAGCCAGCTGACTGCTCAGGAGGTGAAGTCGGTAAGGGCTTAACTGCAGTCTCAACCCTCAATCTTTGGTGGGCTTTTGAGCTCAGGCAGCTGGGAGCTTACAGGGAGCTCCTTGTCTTGCTTGTTGTAGCAGAGCCCAGGCTCTTTATCCTCTCACCTCATTTCTGTGTCCTTTTTCTGAGTGAATTTAACTAGTGAGAAGGAATGGCCCACAGTAATTTTGGTTTATTCTTCTGGTCCTGGAAAAACCAAGGACACTGCACTTCAGATCTGCTGTTTTAGATCGTGTAGGCCTTTTTGCTTGTCATCTTGTCCATTGTAGTTCATATTGCCATGGTGAAAGCTTTCTTGTGGGGGTGAGGTTTTTAGCTTAAGAGGGATTTGGGATTATTTGTGGGGTTTTACTTCCTTGGCATACCCTTCTGTGATAATGAAGGATCATTTCTCTTCTGAGTGAAATAGGCTTGTTACCTTCGTGGCCTGAATTCTACCCATATTGCTGAAGAGAGGTGTCGAACTTGGCTGGGAGAATGGCTGCAGATTTCCTGCAGCCTGAAAGGTAAGACAGATCCCAATGGTTATGCCATTAAAATCCAAGTCATTTTCATGTTTTAGTCTAAGATTACTTTGGAGTTAGTAAGTGCTGTGAGACACTTATCTAACATACATGTCCGATTGAAGGGGTGCAAACTCACTTACCTACAGGGACCAGGCAGGAAATGAGGTGGACTGTGTGAGACGAGAGGGAGGACTGGGGATTGTGGGAGCATGAGAGTGCGCCCGCGCTAGTCTGAAGCAGAGTTTCTCAACCTTGGCAGTAGTGATGCTCTGTGTGGGAGGCTGTCCTGTGCATTATAGGATGTTTAGCAATATCCCTGGCCTCTATCCACTAGATGCCAGTAGCACCCCTCACCCAGTTCTGACAGCCAAAAATGTCTCCAGATATTGCCACATGACTCGGAGGGAGGGTGCGAAGCAGAATTGTCCCAGTTGAGAAGCGCTAGTCAAAAGACATTCAAAACAAAAACACTCAGTTGGTGAAACAAAAAGTATCTGGGGGTGGGTGTTAGGCCTGTGGGTCTCCTATTTGGAACCTTTGGCTTGGCCTTGATGTTTTCTAAGCCTCTGAATATCAGGGGGGCCTCCTAATCTGCTTGGGGCTGAGACATGCAGTCCACTGAGGACCAACTTCTACCAGAAAATTCCAAAGAGTGACAGTGGTGTGTAGTACCATTACCATCTCTGAATTTCCTACTCATCACATGAGAATCAGGAAATGAGGAGGAGTAGATATAAATACACGGTGGAAGGAAAGAAAGCCTATAGGCAGGGACTGGAGCGAAGCAGGGGAACTTTGGGAACAATGGCCCCTTAATGTCACACCTCTCTGCACTTGGCTTCCTGCCTCTGGTATCAAGCCCTGCCTAACAAGATAGCTAGAAGGCAGATTGTTCCCTGGCTAAACCGTTAATGCTGATGGTGTTTTCAGAAGCTGAGCTGTCCCTCTTGCTACACAACGTGGTCCTGCTTTCCACCAACTACATTGGGACAAGTCGCTGAGTGAACACGGAGCGGATGGCATTGTCCTGTAGTCACAGAGCACAGCAGCGTGGGACCAAACAGCACTTGTCAGCAAAGAGTCTGTGTGCACTGTTAGGTGTGTGGGAGGGAGAGGGGCGGGTGCCACAGGCTTCACAGCGCGGTGCCCACGTGGGAGCTGAAACTGAAAGAAAGTCTCTTCCCAGGGTGGCGCACGTGAGGTGTCATCCCAACTTTCTCCGAATTTGCTGGAGCTGGCAGCAGCCTCTGAACTAGGCTTTTACTGTGATGTTTTAAGTTCAGATCCCAGGAAATGAGCTTTTGCTGCAGGTGGGAATCCTCATTTGGTCTAGGACTTACCCACTGCCGTATTTACAGCTGTTTTTGTTCACGACAGTTTCTGGCTGGTGAGGGGAGCAGCACTACTTAAACTGGAGCACTTCCATCATGCATGTGCTCTGGTGCTCCCCTCAACACTTTCCGATATGACCAAAAATAGGGATTTTATTTTTGTTCCCTTCACTGGGCTAACCACGTCCCCCTTTTTCAAATCCTTTAAACATCTTAAGTTTCTGTTTCGTTTTAGTGAATAATTTATGGGTACATCCTAATGGAAAAAAGGAAATACAGGTGCTTCTTGAGCCCTTCCCCAAGTGTTCACAGCCTTCACCCGCCTTGTCTTAATTTCTGGGCAGTGCTCCAGCCCTTGTGGATCTTAAACTCTTTGCTACCTCCACTGTGTTGCAGCAATCCGACTGTAACTGACAGTGGCTGCCTTCTTTGGGCCATGGATCAATCCTGTAAGGTACTAATTACTGCCCAGCCCGGAGACCAGGAGAGGTCTACACTGAGATTGTAAGTTGGGGTCAGCTTTTGTCTATGTATATCAGTGACCTGTAGTAACTTATTGTAAATGCATGGAGCACCGTTTATAAACTCAAGTAAAGACTGCCTGAAACCAGTTGCTGGAAATTACTTATGCATACCCTAATCATTTTACTAAGGCTCCTTTTACAAGACTGAGTGGCATAACCTAACTAATGGGGAGATAATTGGTTGGAATAGAACCTTCTTATGGGATGAGTTACAAGGGAGCTGATTTGAAGTTGATCCTTTTGCTGGATTTTAAGATGGTAACGAGGAATAGAAAATTTCATATTATGTATAAAGTAATGGAACTAAACTGTGGGCCCCAAGAGTAGGGACTGCAGGTGGGAAAAGCTCCAACAGGCCAGGATCAAGTCCTGCTTCAGCTGAAGAGGTCCATAAGGGCATATGATACAAGTCAAGCTCTTGACGCTCCAAAGAGAATGTTCTATTTTCCACCAGAAAACGTTCCTATTGTTAAGATTAATCCTTAACTGACCTAATTAGTTTTATAGACAATGTTAGAGAAAGGAGCATCCTTTCTCTAACAAGTAACTGAATTGTGGTCTGCCAAGATAAAGAATAACACACCATTCTTTTGAATATTTCTTTAATATTACATTTAAATATTCTCTTTAAATACAGCATTAACACAATGTAAAGGACCTAAAAGGCAAAAAAAATTTTTTTTCAGAGAACCAGACAAGCTTTGGATTCACATTGAAAATACTACCTGTGTACAGAATGTGAGAAAGGAAATTGGAAAATAATGAGTTGTAATAATGAGTCATTTCTTTCATCAAGGCCTCGACTAAGCAGGACCAAAGCTCTCTGCTTCTGTGATCAGAGGCCTAGATTTTCTAGCAACCATGAGCTATAGTTCTGTCCAACTCGGGTAGCACCAGACTAGGTTGGGACTAGGTTGTAGAAAAGGCCTTTTGCTTGACAAGACAGTAAATGCTAAATGTTAATATTTAGCATTTAGCAGCTTAGGATAGGTGAGTCAGAATCTCAGTCAGTGAAGGGATGGACTTATATTAAGGAACTAGTTTTTCAGAAAAGTTATCTTGGGGGGTTGACAATGAGTTTCATTAGATTCAAATTCTTGGTCTGACCCCAAATGTGTGTCTTACTGAACAGCTGGAGCCCACGTCTCAGCTTAGGCCGGCCTTCCTGAGGAGGGCATGTATAGCGCTTACCCTCCCCTTCCAACACACTTCCAGAGAGATTCTTCTCCATAGAGTCAAATTCCCAGTTATGCTTTAGTCTTATATTTGAGGGAACCACGAAGGTGCGGGAGTGTTGCCCAATTTGGGACAGCATCTGGATCTCAGGTACTTAAGACTCAAATTATTTTGTGAGGCCAGAGGATGGGGAGATAAAGACCTATGACTTAGTAATTCCCCTCCAAATCTAAAACCAGGCAAAAACAGGAACGGACAGGAGAGGCAGAATTAGTTAAAAGATGTATTGGTGTTAAATACAAGGCCTTTCAGGCTCAGTTTAGCTTTGATAGGTGAAACACTGCTGTGACATACACGGAAGTTGCTTTCAGACACCAGGGCCTTAATGTCCCACAAGAAAAGGCTTCATGAGCAAGTTAGTAGGAACAGTTATCTCCTCCACCAAAATAAAAAAAAAATTTATTTCTGTTTTTTCCTGGTTACTGAACCACACCAAAGTGAAGCGTGGGGAAAGGACGCTAAAGTAGTGTTTTGCTCCCTGCTGCCTCCCTTTTAAAACAGAGGCAAAGATACCTTTGCTGATAAAAAGGAATTCAGCGCTGTTCAATGGAGTTTATCCTGGAACATATGCTGGGCATAAGAGGAACAGGAACTGTATCCTCTCCAATTCAGGTACCAATTGAATTTGAGTCCCACTTTATAGCCCTTCAAAGGTTATAGTCAGAACCTGAATTCTTTAGAACCTGGGAGTTGTATGTAGCGTTTAAGAACTGGTTTAGCTTCCAATTTTTATATACCAAGATGGAGGGATTCAGTAAACACTTGCAGTTCTTGGGGGTGAGTATTGTAAGAATACCCTGTGTATCTAAGAAGGACCATTAGGGTAGATACAGAAAAAAAGGAATAAAAACTAGTTGGTGACCTTAGACTGCCACATCCTACATTCCTTTAAAGCTCAAATCTCCCAAAGTGGGGGGAAAAAACGTGGGTGGAAAAGCAACCACGGCATGAACGAAGCCATCTTCTTCCCAGACAGCAGCCTGTTCCTGCTGCCTCCTTTGGACATAGTTAATGCTTCATATAGGCCTCCCATGGGATGTGTGAGCCCCAGACTAAAGCGGCCTGACAGAGCGAGGGTTAGACGCGAAGAGAAGACTCAGGCTCTTTATACCACGTCCCCAGCCGGTCTGGCTCTTTCCCTTCAAAGGAAAAAGGATGGAGGTGTGGGGGCGGGGGGGGGAGGCAGGGGAGACAAATAGACGAGTTTAACTCTAGTACCTAAGAACATGTGAAAGAAACAATTCAAGTTACAGACCAGGAATCCCCAGTGTGGGGAGCAGGTCAGAGAACACCAAACATGTCAAATATTAACTTATTTACCAAATAGGGGGCCAGGAAAGGCAGGTCAAATTTTTAGAAATCCTGGAGGTTTTGTACAGAAGCAGAGACCCTTCCACCCCCTCTTCTTTAGATTCGACCAGGTGACATTTCAACTGTATTATTATGATACACCAAGATGGGGGATCAGAGTAACCACTGAGGAAAATGAGCCTGTACCCCACCTGGAGCCCAGGAGAGGGGGAGGGGCTTTGCCATGCTGTTCAAATTGCTGTGTTCTGGTCCCTACATGAATAGCTGCTTGAATTACCCGGCTTCTCCTGTGAGATCCTCGTTCTTTGTTCCGGTGGCCCAGCAAGCTCAGTATGCAGCCTCCTCTGCCCCGACTGTCGCCCCAGATTGAGCTGGGGCTGGTCTCCTTGGTTCTGTCTGCCCTTTAAAAAATACTTGTACAAACAATCCTTTCCCACCCAACCCCCAGAGACCCCAATAAAATAACAAGGGAGCAGCAGCTGCTTCTACAGTTTTGTTTTGAAATGGTGTTAGATAAAATAAGGGAATAAATAGAGACTGGGTGAGAGGCAGAATCTCCATCCCCGTGTCACACTGCCAGAGGGAGCTCCGGGGAAGGCTCTTCGGGGGGCCGGTCCTCACTCCGCTGTGCGGTCTTCTCCACCACACAGCCCTCTTCATTGTCCGTGCGGAAGGGGAGGCTGGAGGGGGACCAGGAGGGACGGAAGTCTTCATTCCCAGGCTCCTCAGGGTTACAATCTTCGGGTACTAGTGCTTCTAGAGTGGATGTTTTCCCCACCTCTGATTTACAGAGGGCAGCCGGGTCTGTGGGGCTACAAGCCACCAGTGAGGTAACAGGGAGAGAGAAGACATTCAGATCCTTCTCCTTGGGGAAAGAGGATGGGACTTCTTCTGTATCAGGCTCTCCTTTCACCCCCAGGACTGGCCTCTGCTCCACCTGGTAATAGACTAGGGGCCCACTGTTCAAGTAGGATGCGTTGTTCACTGCCGAGGCGGCTGGGTGGTCCGAGTTCTCGGCAAAACACAGCACGGAGGAGCCTGGGGGCAGCTGAGCCTGGATGAGAATGGGGGCCGTGAGGCCTGGGCACAGCTCTTCGGGGACAGCCAGGGGCTCCTCCAGGATGCACACGCCCAGGCTCTCTATGCTGGAGTCCAGGCTGGCACTGGAGCCGCTGGAGTCCTCCTCCGCCTTGAGCCGCTCCAGTTCCTCCGCGCTCTGCAGGTGCATCACTGCCGTCTCGTTCTCAGCAATGAACTCCTGGAAGTCCTGTGTCTCTGAGCCCTGGGCTGCGGCCAGGCTGCAGCTGGCAGTCGGGGAGGGCTCCTCGTCCGGCGCTGGCGGGCGGCTCACCTGCCGCTTGCTCTCCAGCTCCAGCTTCATGATGGTGTGGAGGTAATGAGTCCGGACCCGAATTGGATTGAATTCAATGCGGCCAGCCATGTTCCCGCAGCCATCCCGGGAGCAGCCACATGGAAAGGACATGCGATCCACCTAAGGAGGAGACAAGGAGGTTGAGGCCAGGTGAGATAGGAGACATTAGCTGGCGAACACAGGGAGCTGGGGTCTGAGGGCTTCTTACAAGAGAACCACCAATTAAAAACATGACCTGCAGCATCAGCTAACAGAGCTCTAGGTGGGAGTCTTCAGGCCACTTGCATTTCAATTCCAGCACAGCCATTAATTAGTTGTGTGACCTCAAGAAAATCATTTCATTCTCTAGGGCTTTGTTTCCTCTTCTAAACAAAAAGTAGACAACGATCAGGCCAAAGGGCCTTTCCAGTTAAAAGTCCAGAGATTCCACTCTGAATGCTAACAGTTCTCAGAGAAAAGAAATGTATGTACCTCAGAGACTTTTCTAGAACTTACCTGCTGTATTAAGAAAACAGAAGGCCAGTAAGCCTTCTTTGATGCGTTCCTTGATGACAGGCATGGGAAAGGGGGCAGCAGATCTAGCTTGTCCAAAGCAATACATGCTGGGGCAACTAGGCGAGAGTACCTTTGCCTGCTAAGATGCTGTAAGGAAGGTTCAAACAAAACAAGGGCCAGCTCTTCACTACCTGCTTCATTTCCCCCTGCGGGTTGACCAGTTTGGTTGGGCAGCAGTTATCAAGGTAATGAACTTACAGACCAGGGGTATCTGGAAAGGAAATGCTTTCTACCTCTTTATCTCCCTTTTGAGTCCCAAAAAAGAAAAAAAAAACCCACAAAATTCACACATACCAAAAATAAAATTAAAAACGTGAGTAGACAAATAGGTATATACAGATACACATTGACTTCCTATGCTATCAACTTCTAGAACTCTCCCTCCTAGTTATTAGGAACAGTTCATTTCTTAGGACTGTCCTCAGACTGATTTCGTTGTGGGACTTCAGTCTCAGAAGCGTTATCTGGCCAGACCTGCTATAGCTATTTGATACCAACCTGAAATTAAGAAAGAAAAGGTTGGTTAGGATAAATTTAACCACAAGGACTCAGTCCCCCATAGCCTCAGTATACAAGTTCTAGATAAAATTCATTCTTTGGGATGGTACTGCCCTTTTCAATTGAGATGTGTCTTCCAAACCGCCCCTTGTCAGAAGGCCATTGGGGGATGAGGCCTTCTGTCCGTTAGGACACCATGGATTAAAGCTCTTCCAGCCCAAGTCTGCTCCTGAATTACAGATTCTGAAAACTATTCTCAATTTTACAAAACTGGAGTCGAGGCAGAGGTACTGTGAATAAGGGCCGGATAAAACCTAAAAGGCCTACCTCAGTTCTCTGCTCCCATTTACGTCGAGGAATCAGTCAATACAGAAACAGCTACTAAATGTTAGACTTCTAACCCCTCATCCTCCATGTACAGACGACTGCTTCTGTCATCTCTGAGGTGAGAGCACAGAAAAAAAGATACCCATCGCTCTCTCCACAGCCTAAGAATCCTGTCATACTTGTTTTCTTTGTTGGGGGAGGAGGGTTGCAGAACTGGGGAGTGTTCAGTCATGGCAAGTCCACCTATGCATGGACACTTCCCATGTTCACAGGCGCCCACACCCCAGCCCCTGACACTAGTGTAGACGGACCGTCTCAGGCCAGCTGGACTGACCTGGCATTTAATCCCAGCCTGGCTACAGGCACACGCTTCCGGGTCACAGTACAGTCGACAGTCACAACCACACTCTTCCCGTGACAGGCGGATGGCTCGAAGTTCTTGCTTCTCTTCAGCATCAATGCGGTGGACCCCAGAAGCTCTCAGCAGGGCCCGTCGCCGTTTGGTGGGCAGGGGCTGCAGGAAGAAGTAATCATCCACCTCCACATTTTCCACATCAATATCTTCATCTGAAACATCATCCAGTGTCAGGCCGTCGGCCTCCACCGACTCCACTGTCCCATTCTTGGTCAGCTGCCGAAAGACAAGAAGGAAGGTCAGCCTCTAGGGCTACCAGCAGGAGCTTCTCACCCAGCGCACCCAGGGCAGCGCGATCCAGGTGAACCTTCTGCCGTGAGGGACAAATCCGTGCAGCCCATCCTGTCGTGCGTGTGGCCAAGGGACTCTGTAAGCATGGCTAGTGCAACCGAGTACTTTTAACTTTAATTAAACTAGTGGCTACCATACTGGGTAGTATAAGTCAAGAGAAGTAGTCTAGAGCAGGAAGATAGGAAACCTTCTGTAGTTCTAACACCACCCTTCAACACAAAGAAAATCACCTTTCGGATCAAAGTTTCTTAAAACCCCTGGCTCATCCTCCTTCCTGAAGATAATCTTTTCCCACAAATAGACCCTCAATTCTCAGGCTTATGCCCGTGGGCTTCAGCTAACCTGCCTTCTAATACAGGGAGGACAAGGTCCATCAATGGCTGGATGTTCCTTGGATATAAATAACCTTGCAAAACACCCTTCAATTTGTACACCGAAGGACCGAAAACCACATTCTGGGAAGAAGAGCACATTTAAGTGTAGTACAAGGCTACCTACCAGGTCTTTGTCAGTGAACCTGAATCCCCACAGTGTGAATAATTATCTGTGCATACACAGAAGAGCTTCGTTTCATTGGGAGGAGGAAAAAAACCGAGCAAGTTATTAACAGGTATCAAAGAAAGCCTTCACTTCCAATCCATGGCCTAGAAGAAATATATTCTTTCTCCTTCCTAGTCCTTTTTTATTTGATTTCAGAGGAAAGCTGCATGCGAGGTAGGGTGGCGTGTACAATACTGAGTGTACTCTCTACAGGCAGAAATCTGGGCTCTCTGGGTAAGAAGGACAGAGAGCCTGGAAAGGGAATCTTAGTGGAAGGAAGGCTGAAGACAATCTGTGGCTGAATGAGTTCTGAAAACTCACGAGGGAATTCACGTAAAGAAAATGAGGCCTCATAACCCCCAGGGCTCTGGAAGCTACTAGCAGGATGAAAGCCAAGCTACTGGGGGGTTTGGCTTATTGCATCAGCCAGCCGGAGTAGTGCCGGTAAAGGAACAGCTCCTGGGAGAGACATGATGCAACAGACCCGGGTAACAGGCCGTATACTTGTTTTGTTTGTTTGTTTGTGGGGAGGTGACACAGAAATGAGGGAAATAAAGTGCTTCTGGGGATTCCCTAGTCGGTTATTTCCATCCCAGGCAGGCCAACTACGAGGCGACTTTCTGCAGACCTTACATCGCCCATTTCACCAGGGTTGGCCTCCTCCTAAGCACTCTGCCTCCTGCTAGCCTCTCAAAGGAAAGGGATCAGAGATGCACTAGAAAGAAACCCATGCAGATCTGAGAATCTGATGTATTGTAATAGAGGTGGCATTTCAAGTCAGTGAGAAAAAAAAGTCTTCTAGTCATTAAATGGTATTGGGACAACTGGATTTTCTTCTGGAAAAAAAAATTAAGTTAGATCCTCAATTCATACTGTTCACAATAATGAATTCCGTATGGATAAAAGGCCAAAAAAAGTAATAGAAATATTAGAAAAATTATAGGTACTAATACTAGTACAGAGCATCAGCAGCTGTTTTTCTAAGGACAACAAGTATTAGATGGCATATGGGATATGCAAAATGTCTATTTTTAAGACCAACTGCCTCCCCTATAGAATGCTAAAGATAGGAGAAACTTCTAAGAAAAGAGTAAATTGGACCTGGGGAGAGCAAAGAAAGGATTTTCTCTTGACACAGAAAGATGCATTAGATGCCACCATGGTGCTGCTCACTAAATCCACTAACAAGTAGGATTTCCTGTATCTCTGTCTTGAGTTTGCCTGGCTTTGTCCCTAGACCGCCTACAAGGGAGGACCCAAAACTGGGTGGTACCCTGCTTTGAGAGGTCATCCCTCTAACAGATGCAGGAGCAGGGTTTCTTCTCAGGGAAAGGGAAGAGAGCCTTCACTGCAAATGATGAGAGCGGTGTTTATTTGCCCAGCTGTTGCTATAGCAGCAGGAAGGTGATAGGGTCAGTGATGGAATTCCTCAGACAGAAGAAAGGGAAGCCTGAATGTCATTCTAGTTAGAAAAACAGGTGGAAGGCTTTAGGCGTAGACTGCAGGGAGTAGACAGAGAGCTCTCAAAGGGAGAGAGCGGGAGAGCCAGTTCACATACATCCTCTGCCCCCAGTTCTCCAATGCTAGCACATTCTGGTGTCTCATTAGGATTTCACCCACAACCTAGGAAAAAATGCAGCCACCTGTTGTAATGTGGGTCTCCAAACTCTGAGCCCAGAAGAAACGTGGCCACGCCTAAAGCTGTATTCTCCAAATTTGGAACTGGGAACTCTGGGGGCAATTTTTGCAGACTGGTGGAAAATCTAGCTGTGGCATACTGAGCAGTGCTGAGCACAAACGGGCAGCTATAAAGAGCATCTAAGATGGTCTTCTTCTAGCCCCTGCTCTCCTCCTCAACTCGAGGAGCTGGTGCGGCACTGCATTGCAGGCCCAGGGCAAACCGAAATAAATATTTGGTAATGCTGTTGTTTACACCTAAAAAACTATCACCTAGAAGCAACAGGAGTTACAGAAACTGTCGGATCTCTTCCAAGAGTGTAAAAGATCCAAAACTTACTCCGTGCATCAAGGAACTGGACGATCACTTGACAAGAAATTTAAACACTGCTTCCTCAGGATCCAGGGGTGGCAGATTTGAATGACTTCAGGTATTCAGATTTTCAACTTTAAAAAAAATTGTAGAGGGGGCAAGCATAGGGAACTCTAGGGAAGCCATTTTGCTATCTCTGCTAGACTCCCCACCAGAGACAAAAAGAATGGTGTCTCAGACTGAGATCTGATCCCAAATCTGAGATTGCTCATGAGAAAGATGTGTAATCTCTACACGCCAAATGCAACAGTCCAAAAACAAACAAACAAGAAAACACAACACGGCAGACCTAGATGGTTTCCCGCTTTATCTTAGCCCACGGGAAGTACCAGACCCCAGGCCCCTCAGGCACCTTCATCTTCTTGGCATGGAGTTTCTCCTCCTTCAGGTGTTCACGGAGAATCTCCCGATGGTTCACCTCCTGCTCTTGAGCAAACTCACAGAGAGTATAGCTGCGAACAGAGTTGTGGCGCTGGGCCATGCCCAGAGAGCTGCCGCCCTGGCTGGGCACACTGGTGAAACCCTGGCGCCGGGCAAAGTAGTACACAGTCACCTGGTCAAAGCGCACATTCTTCCTCCGCAGCTGCTTCTGCCGCTTCAGGATGGATGTGGCTGAGAAGAGAGCACAGAAAGTTTTATTAACCGAGATGTGGCCTGTTTGGGGACTTCACTATTTCTCATTCACCCAGGCTCTCAACTCTTCTCCAAAGGTGCTCCCAGTATCTACAGACCTTCCTAATTTTCAAATCTTAAATGCACAGTTGGAAGGGACCCTGAACATCAGTTGGTCCATACCACTGCCTTGCCTCCAGACTGACTTCGCCCCAAACAGATGACCACAAAATCTATTTTTAGACATCAGCTGGGAAGAGAATCCCTAGGTAATCTTTTCAGGATATATCAATCTCCATAGCTTCACTGTCCAATCCAGCAGCTACTAGCCACATGTGGTAATTTAGATTAAAATGAAAAAAAAATTTAAATTCAGCTCCTCAGTTAACACCAATCACACTTCAAATGCTCAACAGCCACATATGGCTATTGGCTACTATACTGGACAGTGAAGATACAGAACATTTCTATCATAACAGAAAATTCTATTGACCAGTGTTGGTCAATAGCAGGAGAGAGCTTTCTTTCTTCTATAAAGGGCCAGGTAGTAAATATTTTATGCTTTGCAGGCCATGAGGTCTCTGTTGCAACTATTTAACTCTGCCATTATAGCATGAAAGCCATCAAGACACTGGGTGTGGCTGTGTTCCAATAAAACTTTATTTACAAAAATAGGCAGTGGGCCAGATTTAGCTCATGGGCAACTCTTGATCTATAGAATCAGAGGTTCTTTCCAAGAAACTAATTGAGCCATAAGAATTAAGAAATGTGGAGATGCCCTAGTTGTCCAGGCAGTAAGTATTTATGTCCTGCTAGAGCTACAGTTTTGTGGAACTCTATGGGACTCTGGTGGGGAGGGGTAGAATCCTGGACGACTCCTTCAATTAAATTCAACCCTTTCTGGAGACTCACAAACCACAGCTCAAGTAAAATCAGCTAGAATAAATCATCCTCAAGTCTATGATATTAGAGCAATTAGGTCCTCCAAAGAGCAAGGTTGAGCTAAAGGTGGGAAAGATTATGATTAAAGGCAAATCCCCAAGCTAGACAGATGCTGTCTTAACAAATGCAGTGGGCTCTGATGCGACGCTTGGGGGATGGGGGTGTAGGCAGGGAGGGAGCGGCTCACTCACGTGTGAAGCTGGCAGTTGTAGGAGGATTGAGGCTGTCGCAGCTGTCTGCACTGTCACTGCTGGAGATCTCATCATCTGAGTTGGAAACTGATGAGCCCACATCCACATCATCAAACTTCCTCTTGAGACCCGAGCCCGTGAATGCATCCATTGGTTTCAAAGGGGTTTCCTTGGGGAGCCCACCACGCTGGCCCCAAACCCCCTGCTCACCACCAGTTAGCCAGGTGCATTAGGATTCTGCCCAGGGGAAAAGAGGAATCAGCGTTCCTGTCCTCAGACAGACCCCTCCCAAGTCCATACACACAGCTCTCCAAGTGAAGAAAGCAAGCACCTGAACTAAGCACCGAGGTCTGCTCTCTAGAGACTAGGTCGTATCTCCACTTATTCCGGCCAGCACGCTCCTACTTTTGTTTCTCCTCAGCCCCTCCAGTCTCAGTCATTCTCAGAATAATGAGGTGAGTAGCAGCAACACCTTTCCCAGCGGAGTGAAGGCCTTTGGTTCCAAGCCACCAGGGCTCTAGGCTTCATTAGCCCGGGGATAACAGTAGCTGCTCTTCTGATCCCCCAAGAGAGTGCTCCATGGGGCCAGTAGGAGGGACTGGGGATCAAAGGCAGAATCGGGCTGTGCCTAAACCTACACTCGATCCTATGATTTTTCCTAGTGGAAATATAGCCTGGCACTTCCTGAAGTGTATCCATTAAACAAGCTAGTTCCACAGATATTAATATGTTAATTGCTTTTACAAGGAAACAGGACTGCTGTGTCAAAATGCTTTAGGAAACTGCTTCTGGGAAGACCTCTTAAAGGCTTTTAATATGCTAATGGTGAAGGGTGGGAGAAAACAGAATGCAGAGTTTCACACACATGATTAAGGAACCCCTTATTTCTAGAGTATCTTGGGGGGCAAATGATCCTTGGAACACACTTTGGGAAATACTGCTCCAGGCTTTCAACTTCAAAGTAAGCTGACAGTCAGGGAAACGCTTTACCCGGACCTTCACAAATGTAAAGTGTCTCACGAGGCTCCTAAAAAGGTCAAATTTGGTTCTAAAGAATGGACTGAAAGAGGGGGGTGGGGATTGACTGACGATTAGAATCTGTACTGGCTTCAAAGCCAAGAATCTTTCCCAATCTCATACTGCTCCAGAAAAAGGGCCCAGCTGATCTACCATCATCCTCTGTGCAAGGAAGACTTAGCTTTACAGTCTTTGCCCTCTATAAAGAAACCAGCAAGGGCACAACAAATAGCGAAAGAAGTGACAATTTACTCTGGTTACATCAATACAGCAGGCAGTGTTTCAGCATGCTGCCACACAACCAAAGAGTCTGGGGCAGTCCACTTCCCAGGTACAAATCTTTCTCCTCCTCCACCTTTGGACTTAAATTCCCAAGGATATGAATCTGCTCAGCAGAAACACCGTCAGAGCCGAAGCCACATGTGATGATACAAAACCTCCCTGCTTTGCCTCAGTAATGCCAGAATCTCCCCAGACTATGATCTCACTAGTTGCTAATTATGCAGCAGGAATAACAACACTGCCCAGAAAGCCAGGGCTGCATTACTGCAGAGCAGCTACCCAGAATATACTGTGGTGTCAAGATTTGCCTGCCACAGAGCTGTTTTTCTGGACTGTGTCTTGGAAGCAATTTGCCTGCTCTTGGGTCAGCTCTACAGAGTCAACCAGACCTAATAAGCACTTTAGATATTTCCTAATCTATCTATCCAGATCTCATTAAAATTTTTCATTCAAGTCACAAAATGCACCCAAGAAACCTCAGGCATCATAGGTCTCAGACAGCCATAGTCCTGAAATAAACTGACCAGCGAGAAAAATGTAAGCAAGTACTTGATAAGAATTACAATGAAATTTTTAAAATAAACTCAAAGTGTCAATTATGTTCTTCAGCTTACTGATCTCACCATCAGAGGTCACGTTCCTAGGACGTGGTAAGAATGGAGAGAGCCAAAGACTCATGGGTTAAGATTTCATCTGGGCTTAAAGCTACATATTAACTAACAAATTTCTCATTCCATTCCATTATTGGGGGAGGGGAGACCTTTGCAATCGAATACTTATGTGGGTGGAATAAAAAAATTAGAGAATAATGTTGACCACTGAATTTAGTATTTCCTCCCCACTTACAAACCTTATCGAAAATCAATTATACTTCAGTAACAAAAAAGTTTTAAAAATAATAATAAATAATAAAAAATCTTATTGACCACATGAAAAAGTAGACTAAGCCGAAAATCCTTCTCAGAAAGGACTTAAGTCCCGCTTCAGTTTTAACTGAGATCCAGTTAGTGCTGCTCCTAGGAAAGTGCCTTTTTCCTCAGCCTGGAAGCACGCAGGGATTGATGACTGGAAGCAAATGTGCCCTCCTGTCCTTTGCTCGGCTGTCCCTCTGCTTCTGGTAGTGTGGGTTCCCTCTGAATATTTCTCTGTAAGCCCTGCGTGTGGTTGGGTCTGGTCCAAGATAGTCTTTATTACGAGAATTCTCCACTGTCTTAACCCAGTGGCCCTTTCTCTTCAGGTCACCTTTTGTGCACTCTGGTGCAGCCAGGATTGCTGGCTGCTTGTTCTAGTCCCCTTCTCTCTTTTTCCTACATCTTCCTCACCTCCACTCTGGAATGGGCTTCTGAGCAATGATAGGAGGCAGGTAAGAAAGAGGCAAAAAGATGTGAAACCGAAGAGAACTGTTTTACTTAAAATGCTGGAGAGTCATCTGAATCTATGGCAATAAGTGTAAATAATGGGAATACTCACTGAGCTCTCGCCCCTCCTCCTCCCCACCCCATCCCAGGATGTTGGCATCACCTTCTCTGACATTAACCCATTACAAAAAAATTTTAAAAATCCAATGATTCTGTCCCAACAACCAATATAAGTTTAAATTTCAACCCAGCTTTCCTTGTCCAACTCTCTGGTGTGAACTTGACTAGTTAGATAAAGATGTTCACTGGGCACCAAGGAGAAACCTCCCATCCACTTCCACAGTGGCCTGAAGAAATCTTTTTCTACAACAGCGACAACAAGAACAGGTTCCACACTTTTCCAATTTATGAATTCAACTTCGTTTCAAACCACAATTAGAAATCAGTCATTCCCACCTCTCTCAACTATTTATTCATTGACAGAGGATCAGTGCTTGTGTTCAAGAAAAACACTTCTAAGTTATACTCCAAGCACTTAAACCCACACAGAAATAATCAAGATGAGGCTGGAAATGCAGATCATAACTGACAGTTAACTGTCAAAACGACCAACTCAAACCATAAATGCTTTTGGAGAAAATAATGCAAATCTCTATAAAAGCTTTTATGCCAGGAAAATGAAAGGTCAGCTGACACTTTCTAGCTACATGCCTTACTGTCTTTTCTCAAGTGTTTCTAGCTGAATATTTCCCAAAGGTATATGAAATAATTCAGATTCACAGTATACAGAAGATACCAGGCTAGCACCAAATAAAGTAGATCTATAGCATAGGTGTATTTTAGTACTAGAGCTAAGCCTCTGCAGGCTTGTGCGGATTCCTTTAACAAATCCCCCCAAATAAAAAACCAGCGTATGTGAGACTAACCAAAAAGAAAAACTTGCCCTTTCCCCCAGTTTTGTGGATGCAGAATGTATTGACAAAGTTTAGGTAATGCAAGCCTCTCTTGTGAATGAGTCCAAAATAAGATGAGGTACATCTCAGAGAAGGCCTCTCTACTCGGCTGGAACCCAACCTTCTGCTAAAGGTCAAGGGACGAAAATCTCTAGTAAGATCAGTGCTACCATCTGTAGCTGGGTTGGAGGAAGGAAGGCTTGCTGCTAAGTGTCAGGATCAACCTAAATAAGATGACGGGTCTTGTTTCTCCTTTTACAAAATACTGTGGTTAATTCTCAAATACTATGAATTTTGTGAATCCATGTGTCCTTGTGATTTACCAGGATCATGAACTTACAAAGCGCTCAAGTGAAAACATCTTGTTTAAACTAGGCATTTCAGGGAAGCCCCCCTCCAACCCTCACTCCCTGTTTTGTATCCCTTCACTGACACAAGATTAGAATTTCATGTTTAAATTCCCATGGAATGAAGGACACGCGATCTTTGTGGGAGAACTGGAACATGATGCTGCAGGAACCATTAACTCTCAAGGATATTCAGTCATTTACAACTCTGGCACACACCAACATCCTCCTGGCTTTGGACATTTACAAAATGGAAAGTCAGTAAAGAAAAGGAAAATCTGAATCCACTATGGATTTACCTTGAACTGAAAACTGCAGGACAAGGGGACACTGTGTCTCTTGGGGATAACTTCTAACGTTTCATACTGAAGAATGGTTTGTGTGTCACACTGCCACTCTAAACCCCTTTAAAAGGATGAATCAAGACCATGGTACTAAAAGGGATGGATGGCAGTCAGCTGCGTGTTTGGGCCTGTGAAAAAAGATCAAGCAAGCAACCAGGGCAAGTGATGCTTTCGTTTTCTCACACAACGCCGGAAAAATGGGAGATATCAGGAACCTGAGCTGAAAGGACATGTCAAGTCACCAGTTCCCCTTAATGGACACCCCCGCTGAACCCTTCAGCTCCTGGCCATTTCTCTCGGACTCCTGCTAACCTTCCCGCTCATTCCATTCGTCTGCAGCCTCTACCCAACCTTCCCATCCCTTCCTGCCTGCTAGACACAAATTCCCAACCACTCCTCCCACATTTTCCTCTATTTCCCCCCTCCCCTTCCTCACTTCCCTCCATCCTACATCATCTCCACTCCATTCCGAACTCAACCCGCATCCGAATTCCTGCCGGCTTCTAAGCCGCCGGTCGGTCTCCCTCAAGCTGCCCCCGCAGTCCGGGCCCGGGTCCTCCATGCCCCTCGCTCCCACGCCTCTCCCGACTCTTTCCCTTCCCAGCGGCGCCCTAGCTCCCCGCCCCCCGACCGCTCCCGTCCGAGCCTCCCTCATTTCTGACCCCTCCATCGGCGCGGCTCTGGGATGACCACTCCTCCACAGCCGCCCAGGGGCCGATCTCGAGAAAAGACGAGGCGGCACCCTCCGCCCCGCACCCTCAGGCCCATTACCGGCCCCGCCGCAGCTGCCTCCTCCCGTGATGGTCTCTGCCGCCCCCGCTGCCGCCGCCGCCGCCGCCGCCCTAGCCCGGGTGGGAAGGAGGGAGGAGAGAGCGAGTCCTGGGGCCGCGGCGACAGTCAGGGAGTTCCCAGGGCGGCAGGGC